AATGAGGAGTTTAAAAGTCAGAATGTTTCTCTCCTTCTTTGTACTAAATCATGGATGTTCTTGTAATATGTTTTGGGCTCAGGAAGGCCTAGTTGGCCTGAGTCTTGTTGTATTTGGCTTTCTCATTGAATAAAATTACTTTACCTTTTTCCAAAAAAAACTTTAGCTGTTATCAAACAGGCCCTTGGACTTGATTTCTTTAATTTCTCTTTATGATTTCCAAGTAATGCCTTTTATTTCTTTTTGTTTTTTCTTCCTTTAATTTTCTTTTCTTGATTATTCTATTTGTCATTGTGTTGCAAAGGTGGTTTACTGCTTTCGTACTGGTACCTCAATATTGTTATACAGAGAACTGTTGAAATGAACAATGGTTCAATCCTGTTTTTATGGTGAGTTCTCTAGATTAGCTTGGAGCAATTTTGTACCGAAAGTAGCATGCAATTTGAAGGATTAGATAGATATTTATACTAAGAATCTATCATTTTCATAGAACAACTTTATTTGATTTTTATGCTACAAGTTACAACTTAATGAAGGTACATAGGGCTTTTGCAGGGGGACAAATTTAGAGAAGCTGAAGCAATTTTTGAGACCCTTTTGGATGACAAGATATCACCATTGAAGCCAGATCAGAAAATGTTCCATATGATGATTTACATGTATAGGAAGGCTGGAAAATATGAAAAGGCTCGCAAAATATTTGCAAAGATGTCTGAGAGGGGAGTCCCACAATCTACAGTTACTTATAATAGCCTCATGTCGTTTGAAACCAATTACAAGGAGGTTTCAAGTATCTATGACCAGGTAGGGTTTTATAATTTATGTACTATATTATTTTATTCTTGATAATCAAATGAACAAAGTTAATAAACCTCCAAAACTAGCTGTTTCTAGTAGATAGGCTTCCTAAGTATACTAACTTGTCATAATAATTTCCAATATGTGATTGCTTATATCAAGCTTTTTGTCCTCAGTTATAGTCTCCATACATGCTTCTCCTCGGGAAACATTTTAACCATTATTTATAAAAATGAAATACAAGTAATGAGATGGAAGACTTAGAAGTACAAGGCTTGAAATGAAAGGAAATCATTTTAACTATTAGTACAATGATTCATCAGATCCTCTATAGCCTATAGGAAATATATTAAAAATGAATGGTCCCTTCGTGCGATCTTCTAAAGATCTCTAAATATTTCTTAATATCTTCTAACTTGACAGCAACTAAAATCTCTAGAAAATAACCAAAAGCTCAATAAGAAAGTTGATCCATGCATATGAGGACTTCTCATTAAATTGTAATTATTCTGGCGTCCATAGGGTTCATCATTATTCTTGGTGCCTAGGTAGGTGGCCAGAGCCCATGGTGTTTGGGCTTATTTCACAAAGGCCTGCTAAAACTTCATAGATGACATATCATGAGACTTATTTAGAGTCATAGTTGTCATGGCACCCAGTTGCCTAGTCAACAAGGCATCTGCATAGGCAATAGATTTTGATTAAAATAGATTGTAGATCATATATTAATTCTTTAGATTTTACAAAGCATAATGGGCATCTATAGTGAAAAAGGTAATGGTAAAAAATTTCATGCAAAAAACAAATAAATCTTCATATCTATAAGAAAGTGGAATTTTAAATCTATTGATATCCATGTTCTAAACACAATGTTGTAATGAAATAAATATTTAACAGAGCATAAAGAAATTGCAGACTAAAAACAGTTAGCAAATTGAACCCTGTGTGAATTTTGACTAGCTCTACCTATCTTGTGCTAATGAAATAATTTCATTAAAAAATTTTGATATCCTGAGCCACCAAATTGTTTCATTTGATCCAAGTTTCCATAAGCAACGTGACCTTAGGCATAATTTTCCAGCCTTGAATAGTTTACTTCTGTTGCTTAAACTAATGAACAATGACCCCTATCTAATATATACAAGTATTTATATGTACACATGCATGCATATGTGTGGGTATGTATGCATATATTGTACTAAAACACATCCAGACATGCATGGTAGGCACTCTTGAAAAAGAGAGATCTGAGTTATGAAATTTTAAAAGATTCAATTCAACTCAAGAAAGCCTTATCTCAACCATGTAAGGTCACTGTATGAACTGTTTTGGAAAAAAGCATGTGTGGGTATGCATGCATTAATTGTACGAAAAGTTTAAAACACATCCAGACATGCATGGTAGGCACTCTTGAAAAAGAGAGATCTGAGTTATGAAATTTTAAAAGATTCAATTCAACTCAAGAAAGCCTTATCTCAACCATGTAAGGTCACTGTATGAACTGTTTTGGAAAAAAGCATGTGTGGGTATGCATGCATTAATTGTACGAAAAGTCTAAAACACATCCAGACATGCATGGTAGGCACTCTTGAAAAAGAGAGATCTGAGTTATGAAATTTTAAAAGATTCAATTCAACTCAAGAAAGCCTTATCTCAACCATGTAAGGTCACTGTATGAACTGTTTTGGAAAAAGGCAATGTAAATACTTAAATAGTTTGTTACATCCTTCTGTTGGTTGTGTCAATCTTTTATTGAAAATGGATTTGTCAGCTTCTTATATGCGGTTTTTTGTAGATGCAAAGAGCCAACATTCAACCTGACGTGGTGAGCTATGCTCTACTGATTAATGCATATGGGAAAGCCAGGAGGGAAGAAGAAGCATTGGCAGTTTTTGAGGAGATGCTGGATGCGGGTGTCAAGTATGCAGACATTTTTGGGACTTTATTTCTTGATTGTTTTATCTTTCAGTTTATTGTGACTGAAATTTATCTTATAGGTTTTCTGTTAGACCTAGCTAATTGATGGAAAAGACTAATTTGTGTCACTGTATCATTTAATCTGTAATATGTTTACTGGAGTATGAAATCAAGATTGTAAACTTGGTGAGTTACAAGTTGTTGAGCTTCTTCAGGCACAATGTAGAAGGTGCTTAGATGTTGCTCATTTTCTGTGTTTCAAATACTTGGTCCTTTAGGACTGTGGATGCTGACAAATCCAATCATGTAATAAACTGGACTGTCAAAGCTCAGATTATCATAAACATGCTTTATCCACAGAGCTGCCTGACTGTATCTTTTTTAATTTTGTTATGATTGTCTGGTTCATAAAATTGTTGATTGTCAATATTTATCAAAGAAAAAAAGAATAATTTATGTGAGCCTCAATGATCAACAGATGACCCTCAGACAGGGTTTTTGAAAACGACAAATTTTCAAATTCCCAAATGTATCAAGGAGCTGAAATCTCATAATAGAATAGCATCTGGCTTCAAAATGTGCCTCATTTCTTATCTCCTAGCTGACTGCTTTGAGATGATAGATATGGTTATTGGTAGCGTGGAGTGTCAAACTGCAAGCATACCTTTAAGAGAAATATCACCATCTTACCTTACAGGGAGATAGGATTTCTCTAACCAAAGTGGATCTTGAGAATCTTTGTCTCTTCACAGATTTTTATGTGGAGCCTATCATCAAGTTTTGACCCCCCGAATGTACTTTGAGCCCCCTCAAGGAGTTTGAGCTCCTGTCTTGGTTTTCTTCATTGACCACTATGGATATGTTCATTACTTGATCTATCTGTCATCATATAATACCCCAGAAGCACATCTTTGCTAGTAGATAGTTGGAAGCCCCATGAGATAATGCTACATTGGTCATGAGATATGGAAACATTTACAAGCAGCGAGAAGTTATATACATGAAATGAAAGATAAAAGCCAATGACCCCATAGTTGACTTGGTTACATGTATCCCTCTGTGAGGAGGCACAGGTTCAAACCCACAAATAGGCAGATTCTCAGTGTTGTGCAAATAGGAGATTTGATAAGTTGTATTTAAAAAATATCTTTTTATTAACTGAATTTGGCAACACACCTTGAGTGAGATTGTGGTCCTTGCTTGTTACTTTGGCTTGATTTTAACAATTCAGCTTATGCATCAGTGTGATTACCAAGTATTCAAGCATGGGTTACCATTTTCACAGTAACAATAAAAACCAGCATGGTGTATCATGATTTATACCCATTTCAAGGAGATTGTATGCTTAACTTTAAAACTACAAATCATTACTAATGAAGATTTAATATGTTTTTTATCAGTATAATAGCTTGTTCTTATTTCCTTTTGCAGGCCAACCCGCAAAGCATATAACATTTTGCTTGATGCATTTGCAATATCAGGAATGGTGGAGGAAGCTCGAACTATATTCAAGAGCATGAGAAGAGACAAGTAAAGTTTTCCTTATTATGCCACATAGAGTGCATTATTCATATAGAAATTCTGATGATGATACATATGGGAAATTTGTGTCAAAGACAAACTTTGTTAACAGGTTAAATATTTGGGTTATTTTTACTGATGATAATTTTGTTATCTTTTGATTATAGATGTAAGTTTCAGATTAGGGTATGTTTATAACTACCTTTCCCATGCCTATAATACCATAACTAAATAATTCTTTATGAATGTGCCTCTTTCATTAGAGTAGAACCTAAAGATATCTTGGTTAGGTTTGCGGGTTATTATCTTATTCATTCTAGTCATGTTTGGCAAAATAGTATTTGTTTTCTCAGGCATATTGTATTTCTTCCCACAGATGTATGCCCGACCTTTGTTCTTATACAACAATGCTATCTGCTTATGTCAATGCATCTGACATGGAAGGTGCTGAGAAGTTCTTCAGAAGACTGAAGCAAGACGGTTTTGAACCCAATGTGGTGACTTACGGAACACTAATAAAGGGATATGCAAAAATGAATAATCTAGATAAGATGATGGAGAAATATGAGGAAATGCGGATCCAGGGTATTGAAGCCAATCAGACCATCTTCACTACAATAATGGATGCCTATGGTAAGAACACGGACTTCGGTAGTGCTCTAATTTGGTTTAAGGAAATGGGAAATTGTGGTTTCCCTCCTGATCAGAAAGCAAAGAATATCCTTCTCTCTCTGGCAAAAACAGAGGAGGAATTGAAGGAAGCTAATGTGCTTGTGGGAAATGCCAACAATATTGTTGAAAATAAAATAGTTTCTGGGTTATCCAAGTACAATTACGATGATGATGAGGATGAAGATGAAGACGATGAGGACAAAGATGATGATGATGATTACAATGATAGTGAGCAGAGCTTAGTATCTTTTAAAGAAAAATTACATGAACCAGTGGCAACCATTTTTGATGGCCAATATCCCTTGCCTTTAGAAACCAAAGGTTTTGTTGATGTATAAAACATGTGAATTTTGTATCATAAAACATCTTTATCTTGAGCATCTATGCTACTTTGCAATGCCACAATGCCATTATTTGGCTTTCCAGGATTGTTCATCTTCCAAGACTCCATTAAATAGCTCTTTATCTTTTGAGTTCTAACCATCTGAGTTAAGATATTTTCATTAAAATTTGCTAATGTGCTAATTTTACATCCAGCTTTGTGCTCCATTTCCTCATTGCAGTGACTCACGTATTTATCTTGGAACTCTTACTTTAAGGCCCTGTACTTACCTGGGTAAATAAGTGTTTGTCGGGAAGTTATTTGCCCGGGTATATGTGCTTACTTGGGTAAGCGTTTCTTGGGAAATACTCACCCGAGTAAGGAAATGCTTATCCGGTTTAGTGCATTTATCCATGTTCTTTTATTTCCCCGGTAGACCTGTTCATGGGCCGGGTCAGGCTTTGTATATGCATCAACAGAATACACTCAGGCCTGAGCCTGAGCTCGGCCTGACCATTGGGCCTAATTCTTGAGCCTGAGATTGGCTCTCATATAAAGCTTGAAGCTCGGGTCCGAGCCCGAGCCCGGTTAGAAATTCGAAAACAATTTTTTTTCTTTTTTATTCAACAAAAAAGTGTTTTATTTATACTAAAAACCTTCAAAACTCAAAAATAATAAACATCTCATTATTACTTGGAAAAAAAAAGAGAAGAACAAAGAAAAAATATTGTATATATATATATATATATTTTTTTTATTAAATAAAATATATTTTTATTATTTAATATATAATATCAAGTCGGGCTTGGGCTCAGACTGGGCTTTTTTGAGAAAGCTCAAATCGGCCCAAAAAGAAGTCAGGCCCAGTGCTTTAGGCCCAACCCCGAGCCTGTGGGCCTAAAGTTATGACCAAGCCTGACTTATAACGGGCCAGGCTAGGCCAATCCGTTGGGTTACCCGGTCCATGAACAGGTTTATTCTTCGGTAAATAAAACAATGAATACAAAGCTATTATTAAAGGGGTAATTTTGTCGCATGTTGTTAGCAACTTCCCATAAGTGGGAAATTTATTTCCCCATCCAAGTGTATTTGAACAATCTATTTTGGATATTGTAATACTTAATCATCAAATTAATAGATTTTGTTTTACATTGCACTTTTCATATAAGTTTAACCTTTCATGTATGGGATTTGCATTAAGTAGGTATTAAAGTGATAAATCAAATAAAAATGCAGGTAGGTGCAAAAGATAGAAAAAATGTTGAAATTAACATAGCTTAAGAATTATAAAAAATCTATGGCATAGCCATAAATAAGAAGTAAGGCAGCGGTCCAAACTATTGTCTAAAAGGGTCAGACAATGTCTGGTGAAACCTAAGTCGGTAGTTAGCAATATCTAAGGTGGCGGTTTGGATCACCATCTAAAAGAAATAAGCAATGTTTGGCGAAGTCTAAAGTGGCGATCTAGAATGCTGCCTAAAAGGGTGACACGTGTAGTAATGTTTGGCGACAATCAGCAATATCCAAGGTGGTGGTCTAAACCGCTTCCTAACAGAATTAGTTAATGTTTAGTGATGTCTGAGGTGGTGGCCCAGACCTCCACTTTTAACAATGCTAAGCCAATGGTTTTGACATACCAAATGCATTGAGATGTTAAAAACACCTCAAGCTGACAACCACCAGAGGCAGCCATTTTCATTATTAGGGTCGACAGTCTTGACCAAATTGTACCAATGAATGTATTTATAAGGTGGAATTGATATCCTATTACAAGACAAGACGTGATTCAATTGTCTTAATGAAAATCCTGGAGACCCGGACAATGAAAATCCTTAGTTTCATAGGATTTTACGCTATTGCCTTAATGAAACATTAGAGGCCTAGGACATGGTAAAATTGCACCAGTGCAATCGAAAGGACTATATTGACCTTATGGTACAAGGCACAACAACCTTACCCTAAGGATGGTTCTGAACAATGAACATTCCAGGTATCATATGATTTCTCTATTATTCTTCAACCTTGGGACCTTGTCTTGTGCTTGTCCTCGACCTCGCAACCCATCCACATTTCGGCTTACGTTACCTTTAAGGACTTAAAGACTATAGTGGCACATGTCCTCATGTACGTACAAGTACTAAAATAACCATATGGGAACTTGGTATGACTTTAGTTAGTCCAAGTGGCATAAATTAACTGCATAACAAACCCAAAACTGGACTTTCCAGCAAGGGAAACCCTATTTAGGAACCTATAAATAGAGGTCTCTTGAAGGAGAGACATCAGGATCTTCTTTGAGCCTTTTCCATTTGTGTGAATTCATCCCATCTTCAAAGGTCCCCTTTCCAGCACATCTGTTACGATCCATTTTTTCCATATTGGTAGTATGGGATGTTAATGTGAGGTATCCCATATCGGTAGAATGGGACATTGTTGTGGGTATATATGTGCTTGGGTTCCCTCTCTAACAGTTAGCTTTTAGGGGTGAATTTTCCTAAGGCACATAACAAATGGTATTAGAGCCTATACTATGCCTCTCAGTTGCAATCGTGCGGTGCAGGTGGTGACGTCAGTATTGCAGTGTTTGACCGGGACTAGGTGGACTAGTGCAAAGCCAGTTTGCATGGGCGCCGGGACTGCGGAAGCGTAGTGGGATATTACTATTCATTTGTTCCATGTTGGTAATATGGGATGCTAACTATATCCTCTCTCTCTCTCTCTCTCTCATCAAAGTTCCCAAACTGGCGTTCTACAATGGCCTAATTCCTCACCAGAGGGCATATAAGCAGCCCCTTGTAGGGTTCGGTCAACCCCTTTTTTACCTCTCCTCCCCTTGATTCAGATGGTCATTGCCAAAGGTTAAGACCATGTCCAGGGTCCAACCTACCAAGATCCCAAATGGCTAGGACCAACAATATTGGGTTTAACGATTGGAGAGGAGACCAGAATCTACTTCCAACATGATGTATATATGCATGGCCACACATCTCAAACATGTTTTCAGTCATTAAAGGGGTCGCACTTAGAGATGACAATCATGTTTAAGATGTGCGGGTATACATCATGTTGGAAGCATTTTTCACGGCAGACCGGCCGGCTTCGCCAGAACCAGAAGAGAGTTCAGATATAGGAGGGAGAATTTTCAGGATAGAAAAAACAGTTTTGGAAGGTAAGAAGTGTATGAATTAAAGAAATTATAAAAATAAAAAAGAAACACAGCTAGCGAGGACCATATAATAGATATAATCGTCATTTCCCTCCTCTGATAAAAAAAAAAAAATTAAATTGGATAACAATTAAAGTTCCATCCTTCCTTGTGTTAGGAATTAATTGTCTTTATCCACTACTTGAGAGGTTGAGGCGGAGTTGAGAAGCTTCAGGTGCCAAAGACCTGTTGATAGATAGCTCGTGGTGTGCCCTAAATTCCTCATAATTAATTTACCATGTGTTGTATTCTTAAAGGATTTGTGACTCACCACTGAAATTAGTGGGTCCTACAAAAAGAGTTATCCACACAAAAAGAATGAAGAACAATTTGATATTGGCTTTGCTTTCGGCCTGGTTTCTACTATTACTTATTGGATTTTACCTTTTCAATGGTGGTCCTAATATCTGAAAATGAGGTGCATTAATACCTATAAGCTAAGGTCCTTATTGGCCATCCAGTACCTCCTGTAGCTATATGGATAAAAGATTTTACAAATCAACAGTAAAAATATACAGAGTAGGGGCCTAGTACTCCAGGGATGGAATAGGACATCCAAGTGGGTAATTAAGGGCTCAATCCTTGCAAAGTAACAAAGTCCTCTTAACAACGTAACTGATCACCAATCAAAGGACTTGTTGTAAGAGAATATTTAGGGTCTGTTTGGTTCACAGTTGGAATTAGAATCAAAGTCTTTCAGAATTGAAATGGGAATGATCTATTTCCATAGTCTATTTGATTCAGATCAGATAAGAATTAAAATGGAAATTAGAATCAACTAGAATGGGATTTCATTTCCAAGGGAGGGAGAGAAAATAATCATTCCATCAAATGAAAAAATGTCATTTCACCAAAAATGAGAATGAGATTCCGATTCCGCCCAACCAGCAATAATTGAAATTGGAATGACCCATTCCATTCCAGACCCCTATTCCCATGATCCAAACGGGCTCTTACTGTTTAGGTGCTGTTGATGGTTCAATTGGTCACCATTGAAGCTTAGGGTGCAGTTGGATAAGTCAGCTCCATTGTGGAAATTGAAACTTGTGAATGATAATCACTGAACGTGTTTATCTAATCTGGGTAATAGAAGCACAGAATTTCGAGTCCGAATAAACAAGAAATTTTTGAAATATATTATTATCCTTTCCCTACGTAACACGTAGTATCGTGAGATTCTACCGAGCAATTGATAAGAAAAAAGTATATTTTGTACTGTAGCTGGAAAACTTTTCAGGCCTTGATTAGGACCATTCAGTCAATACGAGCTCAAGGGCTTTAAGATTGGCTTATAAATTCCATCCAAAGCGTAGCTTCTTTAGCCATTCCCAATTCTCTCTCTCTCTTCTTTTCTGCTATACATTTTTCATCGTCAAGAATTAACAAAATGGCAAGTCCACGGGTGGCGAGGTTTGTTACAGAGGTTGCTCCGCCACAAGTTGTATGTATCATGAGGAAGAGAACGAAGAAAGTATTAGATACAATTGTTGAAGAAGAGAGAGATGCCAGTGTTAATGAAACTCCTTCCTTGTCCTCCAGGAGTTTTTTTGTTGTGGTGATCGTGGTCGTCATCATCGTCTCTTCTTCTTCTTGTTCTTCTTTTTTTTATTCTTCTTCCTAAAACAGGTTCAGTAATCGATATTCACATATTTTCTTTGTTGAATCTCACTCGGCATAAGTGGTTTTTACTTTACATATTTTCTTTTAACTGGTTAAGCCCCTCACTATGTAGGCTTGTAAAGGTGCACATAAATTTTGTTATGTTCTGGAAATTTATACAGTAAATAAACGTATCCACCATAAAATGTGTGTAGTGAAGGTGTGGAGTTCAGAATTTATTTTGAGGGTAAAATAAATCAGAAAACAAATAAAAAGTTGTGGGGGTGGAATAAAGTGAAGATTTCTCTTAACATATTAAACTAATAAGAATAACATTTAGGCTGAATTTGGAAG